GCATCTGTGTATGAATTTCTGGGACTTATAAACCTAATGACTTCAGCAACCATTTTTACCAGTGCTCATATTGCAATTTTTGCTGTTATCATTGTATGTTTTTTTTTTATCAGATCTCATACTGCAAATTTTGTTTTTATTATTGCATTTCTCTGGCACTCCTTATTACTCGTTTCAATATTATATTCATTTCTGTGCTTGGTCGGCTCAGGAGATTTTTGTGGTTATGTCAGTGGATAGCTTGGAGAGGGGAATTAACAGGAGATAACTGATAACTGACATCCATTAGACATGGCACGAGGAAATAGAACAGACTATCCCAGTGAGCGAAATAAAGGGCTCGGTTTGACATTCCAAACAACTGAAGAAGACCGGAGCCTACAACGGCCGAGACGCTGTGATAAATATGGACACAAAGACGAGGACGATAGTTCGAAGAGTGTAAATAGTGTATATAATACCTCATCTCAGAAATATAGAGAGATACTGATTCTTCTTTGGATCTTCATATATATATATATATATATATATATATATATATATATATATATATATATATATATATATATATGTGTGTGTGTGTGTGTGTGTGTGTGTGTGAAAAATATAGAAAATAGGAAGGAACTGGTTAGGTAAATAATCCAAAGTCCCTTAGTATTTTAGTTATTATTTTAAAAAAATAGTGCTCGATAAAAGTAGAGCATAAATATAATTATTTATTTAAAAATATGATTCCAAATCGTGACATAAGAGGTCTCATGTTTCAAAACAAGAGCCGAAAACTTCAATATAATTATTTAAATTAAATTGAGTTAAAAGTAAGCTCTGTTCCATCTTCAAGCGAAATTTTTTTGGAATAACGTATTTTGAAATTTACGTGTTTTAAAAATTGAAATCAAAATTTCCATGGTAACAGTTCGGGCGAATTGTTTAAATTGGGTAGGCGAGTATTGGGTGTTAATAATAAGTATCAGAAACATGAGACTTCTTATGTCGCGATTTGGAATCATATTTCTAAATAAATAAATATATATATATATATATATATATATATATATATATGATTCCAATAATTTTTACATTCAACATCATCACTTGATAAGACACCTGAGGTGTTGAAACAAAATGGCTATTTTTGTAGTGATTTTATAACATATTTATGTTATAATTTTTTTAAATAAATAATTATATATATCTGTTTGCGTGTGTGTGTGTGTGTGTGTGTATGTGGAGGGTGTAAAGAAACAAATATCTACTTTGTTTTAGACGTATAGAGCTGTAGCCATAGAGCCTATTTCGAGTTAAATCTTTTTTCTGTCTTCTTTTTATTTTACGCAGGAAACTTTGTAACACTTCTCAATGTCGCCTCTCACGTCACATGATTCCTTGGCAAATATGTCTTCACTATAATACCAGGCGGGTCGGAGGAGACAAGAATAACTGAATAAGCACTTTAGAACAACTATTCACCAATAAATATCTTACTTATACAAGCAGCTAAAAGCGAAAGTGCTTTTACTCTCATAATCCCCATTGAAGCAGGACCGGAAGAAGATAGTTTGCATATCCTTTTGCCTATTGTGCAATACACCATTCAAGTTAATATATCATCATAGAAAACGCATTTAAAGTGACGAGCAACAAAATTTGTTTGTATATATATATATATATATATATATATATATATATATATACACAAATAATGCCAAATTATTATCGAGATAACTTTTTTTCAATCACTGAAATTTTCGTACTGATCTGCGCCATGTAAACAAACTGACGCCATATTTGTTATCAGCACGCTGATTTGAGCGTGCAAAATTATTAGAAAGGTAAAACTCCCAGAATTGAGCAAACAAAACGTTTATTAATGTTGCACGTTAATAAATAAGATACTCAAACAAATAATAACGGATACACACAAAGGCACGGTTTTAAACAGATGAATAGGGAATATGCTTTCCCTGTTTTGAAATTACTTGAAGAAGTCGACAAATCCATAGAATTTGTTAATTGTAGGATGTCATCTGCTGTAATGCCACGAGATATGTCTAGAATTGCTTCCCACAACTCAGCGTTGCTCCTGAATTGTCGTCCGTTGGCGTTCAGTCTTCGCTTTATGATGTTCCAAAGGTTTTCGATTGGGTTCAAATCCGAACAATTTGCTGGCCACTTCATTTTTTGAGGTCCATCGAAGCCTAAGTGTTTCAAATACTCAGTAGTCTTGTGAGCAGCATGTAAAGGAGCATTATCTTGCATAAAAACTGAAGTCAACTCTTTGCCTTTTCATCCACGGCTAAAGATGCTCCTGCATAACAGCTATGCATGCATCAGCAGTCATTTTGACGCCATCTAGTACTCTCCATGGGCCCACTAATGTTTTTTCCCATAATACCACCCCAGATCATTATGCCTCCACCGCCTTGTTGGCGTCTCAAACGCTGATAGCGATTCTGTCCGTTCATTACCCAGCCTTTGCACCATCTATCTGGCCCATCAAGTGTTGCTCAAGTTTCGTCTGTGAACAAAACTTTAGAGAAGTCAATCTTCATATTGTCCTCGGCCCATTTCAATCGATTTTGAATGTGATTTCTCGTCAACAGAGGCTTCGATACAGGTTTGACTGTTGTTGCTATTTCCCTCAGATACCGACACCGAGTACTTTTAGACACAGTAGGGACCCAATGCGACTGAAAAGCTCTTGATTGGTAAGTATTTTTTTCTTCATTATTTCTCGTTTAAGTCGTGACATGAGACGAGTTTTGAAATAACCATCGGTTTGCCTTTATCTGCCCTTTTGCGTACTCCTGTAGGGTCGGCGGTGAAATTTTTCACTGTTTGATGACACCTCCTATCATTTAAAAAATTTCTAGGGTAGATTTACCTTTTTGAGAGTTCTGAGGTAATTTTTTTTTTTTTCAGCATCACTTAAACGCATGTTTTTACGGCCCATCATTTCACTAAATTCTTAGACTTTTCTAATAATTTAGCACGTTCAAATCACCATGCTGATAACAAATATGGCGCCAGTTTGTTTATATTGCGCATATCAGTACGAAAGTTTCAGTGATTGCGCAGGTCAGTGTTGCCAACATTTTGTGAAATTGATTGGACGGTTTTTGAAATATTAGAAAAAAAGTTATTTCGATAATAATTTGGCACGCTGTTTATATATATATGTCTGTGTGTGTGGAAAAATTTGTGTGTGTGTAACTATCTATTTTAGATCTTTATTATTTTCTATCTATCTATCTATCTATCTAAATTAAATTGAGAAAAATATGGTTAAAACAATATATTTTAATAAGCATGTTCAAAAAAATTTTATAATATAAACTTTTTTAATTTTATAATTAAATTAATAGCATTAATTCTGTTTGATCTTCAAGCGAATTTTGGAATAACATTTTTAAATTTAAAATTAAAAAATAAAATTAAATTTAAAATAAGTTTTAAATTTAAAATAAGTTAAAATAAAAAATTTTTCAAGCAGAATAATAAATTTAAATTTAATTATAGAATTAAATCAAATAATTAATGCAATTTTTTTTAGATATATGGTTATTTTATATAGCGAATTTGTAATTATTTAATTATAGTATTTATGCCCTTGATAAATTTATATTGAGTACTCTTTTGCATAAAAATAAAAAAATATCAATACGAACACCGGATTATATATCTTGTTGTTATTTCTTTTTATTATTATTATTATTATTATTATTATTATATATATATATATATATATATATACGTTTCACCCCAAGCTAGGCGGGAAGCCACTAGGAAGCAAGGGGTTACAGAAAATTTGGAGCAAGATCAGATAGGAGTGATAGAGGAAAGGATGAGGAGAAGGATAGTGGATAGATCAAGGCAACTGGAGATGTCGATTGACATTACATTTGAATAGTTGGAGATTATAGCTCTCGGGGAAACTGGAATAGGGAAGGGAGTTCCACAGGCGAGAGGTGCGAAACATGAAGCTATTGGAGTAGAAGAGACGGCTACATTTAGTAGTTTCGACAGTGAAAGGGTGAGAGCGGGATGCCAGCCTCGTAGGGCGCTTGAACTCATGAAATCTGGGAACCAGCGAATGCAGCTCCTCGGAGCAATTTCCATGAAAGTATTTGTAAAAAAGACAGAGAGAGGCTACGGCGCGTCTGTGAGAGAGTGACTGTAGACGAGATGCCAGAACAGGGCCAATTATATTGCATATCCGCCTCTGGGGCCTCTCAAGAACCCCGAGGCAAACAGAAGTGGCTCTAGACCATATATGGCAGCAATACTCCATGCAAGGGCGAACTGTTGATGTGTAGATCTGAAGGATCGATTCCAGAGAGAAAAATTTCTTGGCGCGGCACAGGGAGCCAACTTTCCTTGCGGTGGACGAAGCAATTTACTCAATGTATTTGTTCCATCACAGGTCAGCGGTCAACGTGAGACCGAGCAGCCGCAAAGAGGTGCTCTCGAGATGCTGAGCGTCAGACATTCTAATGGAGGGAAGGGAAAGATCTCTGTGGTGATTAATAGAGAGCAGTTTTGTTTTTGAGGCATTAAAGTGGACCAGCCAATTCCTGCCCCAGTTCACAACCGATTGGAGGTCCTTTTCGAGACACACGGCCAGGTTAGTTTTGTTAGCGACACTAGATTTGTTTTTGAGGCAGGAGTACATAGTAGTGTTGTGTGTGTGGGGGGTGATCTTTTTTTTCAGGTACGCGTCTGGATAGAGAAGAAAAAAAATACACAACTGCAGATAAAACTCTTACAAATTGTAAAAGTGTGAAAGAAGAAGTTCGTTAATTCTTTCAGTGGAGATTTGTCAACCGAGACAGAATTGAGAACCACCATTAAACTAAAAGGCTATCATAAAATTACACCTCCCATTGTCTGCACGCTGAAGCTAATGCGCAAGCTCATCATGGAGAAAGAAGGTGTGCAGTCGCCATGTTGTCTTTTAACGGGAAGCAGAAGATGAGGCGTAGGTGTGAAACTTCGGTTGATTAGCTAGAAGATAACAGTGTGTGGGAGAGGGGTTGAGAGAGAGAGAGGTGGAAATGAACATAGGAACGAATACAGAAGTAGATAGATACGATCAGAGAGGAAAAGAGAGAGTGAGAGAGGTAAACAGAGAGAAAGTTATATATATATATATAGACGAACAAAGATATCTAGAGAGGAAACGATAAACTAAAAAAGAGAGGAGCGAATGTAGAGATAGAAAAAGAAATTGAGGAGATAAGAACAGAGTAATACAAATAGATGAATACATCGGAATGGAGAATATATATATATATATATATATATATATATATATATATATATATAGAGAGAGAGAGAGAGAGAAACAGAAGAACAGGAGGAAAGATGAACTGGGAGACGTGTCGAAAAAGAGAGATGGAAAGATACACAAAGAGGGAGAGAGTAAGATAGTCACGAAAAGAAACAGAAGCACAAAGATGAACCCCAAGAATTATATATATATATATATTAGCAGTAGAGCCCAGCGTTGACCGGGGATGTAACAGTAAGTGATAGATCAAGTATCGACCATCATAAAGACTTAAAAATAAAATTGACAAAGATTATTGTTTAAGGTTGACGGACACGCATGTCTTAATTAGTTTTTGTTTTTGTTTTTTGTTTTTTTGTTTTTTTTTTACGAATTGGTAAAACCCAAACTCAGAGAAAAACATTGTTTTCAATCGTTATGAGTCTACCGATTGAATAGAATTTTATTATAAACAATTGTCTTGTAAATGGAATTTTTTAAAGCATTCTGAATGTAAAAATAAAAAAAAAAAAGTGTGCAAGACAATAAGAAACGCTACCTGCCAAAAAAAAAAAGTGAAGTTTTGTTGAAATCGGTTGAAAAATGTAGGAAATCCGATCCCATATATATATAAAACAAACACACACACACAAACAAACAACCTGGGGTTTTATAATAAGTATACCTCGATATGAGTTGTCCCCCTTTCATTCTCGCGTCAGCGATGACCATTAATCGTGTTTTCAAATTGATTTCGTGCAAAAACAATTGTGTTTTTCCAATTTTTGACCCTATCAGAACCACCGCAAGATAATTTTACGTAGTCCTGTGAAGTTTTGTTGAAATCGGTTGAAAAATGTATAAACGAACAGACACACACACACACACACAACCTGGGTTTTATAATAAGTATGATTTATATATATATATATATATATATATATATATATATATATATATATATATATATTGTGCATTTAAGCAGCAATCCTTCATTTATACATGTTTCATTGAAGACGACATAAAAGGTACTGCGTTAAATTTTAGAATTAATTTTTCTTTTCTGGAAACAGAGCGTGTAGAAACAGTCCAAATGTTCTGTAATTCCTAGCGCTTTCGGCTATATTTTTACCCATTATCAATGATGATTTTATTTTGGCTTTTTAATTGGGGGTATTGGGTGGGTGTATGTTTCTAGAATTAAAAAGATGTTTTATTTTCCGACACAGAACATTGTGTCCCTGTTCGTAGTTAATAATATTGAGTGTTGGCTTTTCTTTCTTTTTATTATTAAGGCCTCCATTATTTTAATCTATTTTAACATGTGGATGAAATTATTATGTTTGTATGTGTGTTTAAATGAGTTCAGATGGAGCTCTGGTCGGATACGTGTAAGGTAAGTCGTCTGGATAGGCATGCAGTAGTGTGATCGATGTAATTCTTTATGAATTTGGTTTGAAAAGTTAATTAAGGGGCATTTAAACTCATAAATAAAGTTCGTCCATTGTAAGTTTGATTTTCCTGGTGTGTTTTTATATTTCAGGATAAGGTTAGCTGTTTAAAAATTTTTTATCGTTGATAATTAATTTTATTTTTTTTTCAGGTCAGTTTGGATAATATATATCTATATGATATTTCTAAGTGAAGATCCAACGTGCTTGTAGTTAATGTGTATTTGGCTTTTGTAGAAGATATTTATGTTATTTTTGACTTTGCATTCACTATCATTGTTACTTACTTTAGGAAGAAATAGTCTAATTTTGTGGTCTATAAGGTGGTTAGAGAAGCCATTGTTATGTTTATTTTCCATTATTGAATTATTTAATAAAACATGAGTGTGTGTGCGCGCGCGTGGTTGAATATTATATAAAAGGAATATTTGTTTAATGTTTTTTAGTTTTTCCAATATGTAAGAACATATTTTCGCTTAATGGGCGTAAGTGAGTGCAAAAATTGTCGATATTGCCAATTGTCCTAAGCAATACCTTACTTTCACCAAACGAAAAAATGTAAAAATGTTGTGAAAATGAAATAAAAATTAATAAAATCACCCTTGTTTCTCATATTCAACATTTTTAAAAGAAAGAATGCTGCACAAACATACATAACACACACACACACACACACACACACACACATACATACATATATATATATATATATATATATATATATATTTAATACGATAAAGAACAAGTAGGAAAACAGATCTTAATCTAAAATTTCACTTTATTAAAATTTCCTCAGAGACTGAGATAGAACTGATAAAATTGATAAAAAAAAAAGAAACACAGATTAATTGTCTGTTGTTTTTTGGCTAAGATAAACCATATATATATATTTGTATAAGCCATATATATATATATATATATATATATATATATATATATATATATATATATATATATATACATATATATATATATATATATATATATATATATATATATATATATATATATATGTATATATATATATATATATATATATATACATATACATATATATATATATTTATTTATATATATATATATATATATATATATATATATATATAAAATATATATATATATACATATAAAAAATATATATATATATATATATATATATATATATATATGTATGTATAATATGTCTAGAGAAGAATCTTTTAAGCAATTTTCATTAAACAATATTGACAAGGTCAATGTGACCAACTTTTTATACTTTTTTTCAACGTAGGAGAAGTTGTTTTGTCGTAGAATTAATATTGGTAAACTTTTGAATATTACCTTCAAGTAAATTCAACTACCACAACAGTTCTCATCCAGGATTGTGTGTTTACCTAAATATATTTGCTAAATTCCGGCTTCCTTTTTTTAGGTCTACTGGAATTAATTTAAAGTTGTCGTCATCAATCACGGTCGAAACTGAATTTGTACGTGCTTTTTTTATACACACTTCAATTTAAGATTTCCTATTTAATGTTGGCTATTTCCCTTGTATTACAATGGCTTCCAGAAAGGTGACTCTTCCTTTGCCTGGAGCCCGATAGAATATTACGCGCAGGTGAGGTGAGGGGAGGTGAAGGGAGGTGGAATAGGAAGTTTTGAGGTGATAGATATATAAAGAGAGCAGGACACAGATATTCTGCAGAAAATGATATATAGCGAATGAGAGAAAGAAGCGGAGAAAGTGCGGAAAGAAGAAAGAGAATAATAGAGGAAGAATTGAAAAGAGATGAGCAAAGAGATAGATAGATAGATAGAAACAGGTAAGAATTGATAGATAGATAGATAGATAGATAGATATGATGAAACAAGGATATATATATATATATATATATATATATATATATAGATAGATAGATAGATAGATAGATAGATAGAAACAGGTAAGGATAGATAGATAGATATGAAGAGACAAGAATAGATAGATAGATAGATAGATAGATAGATAGATAGATAGATATGAAGAGACAAGAATAGATAGATAGATAGATGGATAGATATGAAGAGACAAGAATAGATAGATAGATAGATAGATAGATAGATAGATAGATAGATAGATAGATAATGAAGCGACAAGAATAGATAGATAGATATAAAGTGACAAGAATAGATAGATAGATAGATAAATAGATAGATAGATAGATAGATAATGAAGAGACAAGGATAGATAGATAGATAGATAGATAGATAGATAGATAGATAGATAGATAGATAGATACGGCGAATGGAAATAGATTATCTAAAAATGAGGGAGAGAAAGACAAGATCGATACATCCATATAAATGTAAGAAAAATCGATATGCATTCCGACCTCTAGAAACCGGAAAAAAAAGATTGTCACAAGAAACAGTTTGTCTGACAGATACTTACATCGAGGTATTGTTGATAGGTTTTGGTTAGCTGCATATCAACCCCTATAAGTTAATTATTGCCGAAATCTAATTATTTTGTACGCAGTTTCATGCTGTTCTCTTCCATTTTTCTAGATAATAACGGTTAGTGACATGTCTTATTAATTACCCCATAGCTAGGGGAGAAGAGGTAGATTCATACCTTTCGCAAATGTAATTGCATGTAAGCGAATATAAGGAAGCTAACTGAAACTCTCCCATTAAAAATTGCGAGCCATTATGCGCTACACCAGCCTCACATTCAATTTTACATCACCGGTCGAAGCGGTCACCCATCTAGGTGCTGACCAAGGTCGACGTTGCTTAACTTTGGTGTCCGTACCGGAATCTGTGTTTCAATGCGATGACATCGAGGAAGTTTAATCATTCTATCCTCATTTATGCGCCGTCTGTCTTCAGGACGTAGTCGGTCAAGCGCTCCACTACATCCTGTCCTTTGTAGCTCGGAACAATGTTTGTCATTTTAGTATCATTCCCGGTCCTTTTTTTTTTTTTCATTTCTTCTGCACAAGCCTGTTCGGTACTTTCTCTTTGACTGGCCTTCTTTCATTACGCCCTGAGAGTGTCACGTTTTCCAAGCATGTTTATAGCTTTATGCAACTCGAAATTTCAAACATCTTTCTAATTCTAACTATGTGTCCTTTTTTTTTACAGATTTCCTTAAAACTTCCTCTCTACTGATATGCCCCCATGGTATTCTCAGCATCTTTCTGTAGCGCCACATCTCTATTGCATCAAAATCAAAGAATCCATCAAACTGGGTTGCCTCATATCCGGACATGATTTTGATGTGAATATTTGAACTATATGGGTGATATGTTACTGATTTTAAATTTCTTTTTTTTTACAGGAAATTTACTTTGGATAATTGCTTATGCTTATTTCACCCTAATGGCTTGTATTGTTTCAAAAGATGATGGGAATAAAAGGAAAGGATGACAACGAGACACATCTGCAGCAGGATTGCGAAGAGATACACGATTATGATAAAACCTGGACCGAAATTGAAAAAAGCTATTGAAAATGTTGTCAGTTTTATGGAAAGAAAGCCAGCATTCAGCTCTGGCGATTGCAATAACCCACCCAGAGTTAAAAAAAACAGTGTCTTTTGTTTAAAAAAAAATTCAAGAACAAAAACAAAACGAAATGTTGAGAAAAGTTGAGGATGACATTAGAAGAGAAAGAATCATCATGCAACAACGATTAAAAAATCCTTGTTGCATTATTTGTTTTGCATACGTGGCATACTTAATTTAATGAATTTTCATTAACATTACATAATTTTTTTCCTTAAAATCAATTCCGTTATATTTCACTCACCATTAGCTTATTTTGTTTACTATAAAAAACTGAAAATAAATGTTAAACCTGATTTCAGTTCTTTTATTTTAATTTAAATATAACCCCTCATATCTGGAATCTGCAAGCAATTCCTCATATCCGGAAAGCCACCTTAGTCCTATTGTCAGGGATTCTACTGTATAAAGTAACATCAGTAATCAACTTGTTCGTTTTAGTGTCCCTTATATCCAAAAATCCCTCATATCCCGAATCCCTCATATCCGGACTTTGTAACCAATTCCTCATATCCGGAATGCCTTCTTAGTCCGGTTGTCACGGATTCTACCGTAGATAATAAATCTAAGCTATTTGTAAGGATCTATAACTTTTATATACCGTTACATTATTTTCTAGTTTTTTTTTTTATCTCTGGGCGTATTCCTAACAATATATGATACAAAGATGACACTGTGTTGAGGTCCGACGCAAAAGAAAACTACAAGCTCTCCTACACAGAGTAATAAAGGAAAGTGAGAAGAAAGGACTAATCCAAAATGACAGGTAGTATGGACATCCTCACAAGAAACATCTGAAGATGCGAAGTACGAACGGGAGATGGCGGCATCAAAGAACTACAAAAGTTTAAATAACTGGGAACTGTTTTATGTGAAATTGAAATGTTCGATGGACCAGGACATTTTCCAAGTCATTTAAAAAAAAATGATCACATATTAACCAAATCCGCTATAGTTTTTGAACTCTGTTTACTTTTGTATTTCAATTTAATTTCATCTTAGTTACTGTATCTATTCATGAAAATCTGTAAATGAAGCAATTAAAGTGTTATTCGCTTTTTTTTACAGGGATTTTTTTTCATTATTACACCTCGCTAATAATTTGACAAACTAATAATTTAAGTAAATTAGGTAAATGACCGTAACTTCTCTTACTTTTTCTAGAACCTTACAATTTTCACAGAGTAGGTGTATATGCATACTGTCTTTATTCTCTAAAAATTATAACCAGTAGTTTATGGATAGGATGGAAAAGTGTCACCTCATTAATAATTTTTAAATATATCCGAAGACTAAATAGCAAAACCGAGGCAATTTAAGTTTCACTCAAATAAAAGGAAAATAGATAAAAAAAAAAAAATGTTTAATAGCTAATATGGGGCCCATACAACACTCAAATTTAGGTAACTGTTGTGGTAGGATCCACCTAATTTACATAGTGGAGTACCGACCATATAAATATGGTTCAAACCAAAATTTAAAGGGGGAATCAAGAGATCCACTCTCAGTCGAACTCTCTGCATTTAATAGTGAGGGAAAGACGAGGCTTTGCCAAAGAAGGAGGTAGGATTTCGTCCTGGGTGGTATAAGAAGGCCTTGAACCGAATTCGGGTTCAGAAAGGACTTAAGAGGCAGCCGAGCCTACACGGGCTCGGAGATACCCACTAAAAAAAAACCATACATTTTATCCTCGTGGGTGGATAGATAAATACAGGAATCAAGAGATTCAACCAGAGACTCTGCCCGACTGCGACTCAGTCAACACATTCTCCAGGAACGGTCTTAAATACAAAAGACTATATGTAAATATTGTGTACATTTTCTTGTTTCAATACATTTTGTTCTAAGTACATTTTGTGTTGCATTATTATTCCATGCCTTAGTCAAGTTTCAACAGTAACAAAAACGATAAAAAAAAACTACGAGTTCTCTATAGTTAACACGTAAACCACACGCGCCCCGAGATAAAAACTGAATCTGGCACACACAAACACATATGTATGTATATCGGGTAACGATATATAATTTTTTTATGTACATTATTGTATATAAAGAAGAGTTTTGACAAAAAAGATATATGACACATTTTTAAAAAGTTTTTGACGTGTTTCATCCTTTAGGACTTCATCGGACTGGGTTTGCTTACCTTGTCATGATTGCACATGCGCACGAATAAGAGACACTGGGAGTTTCAAAATTTTCAGTAAGAATATACTGGAGAAACCTCAAGATCTTTACATAAACGATTACATGAACACAAAAGAGACACTATTTATATGATTCAGACCATTGTCCTCATCTCATGTTGCCTTATTGATGACAACATTTCCGCCACGTTTTGAACTCACAACTATCTGTGTCCTGTCACTGAATCTAACCAACGCCTTTATCCACTGTGCCATGTGTCCTTAAGGACATCAGTCTATGAATTTCTAGGACATATAAACTTAATGTAGAGAACTTGGAGAGGGAAATTAACAAGAGATGACTGATAACTGACATCCATTAGGCATGGCACGTGGAACTAGAACAGTCTACCCCAGAAATAATGTGTTCAGTTCGACATTCCAACCACCTGAAGAAGGCCGGAGCGTACACCGGCCAAAACGTTGTGATAAACATGACAACAAAGATATGTACAATAGTCCTAATAATGTAAATAGTGTACATGATACCTCATCTCAGAAATATAGACAGATAATGAACGGCCGAAACGTTGTAATAAATATGGCGACAAAGATGAGGACAATAGTCCGAATAATGTAAATAGTGTACATAATACCCCATCTCAGAAATATAGACAGATAATGAACGTTTAATGTTTATTTGTAATAAATATGGCGACAAAGATGAGGACAATAGTCCTAATAATGTAAATAGTGTACATAATACCTCATCTCAGAAATATAGACAGATAATGAACGGCCGAAATGTTGTAATAAATATAGAGACAAAGATGAGGACAATAGTCCGAATAATATAAATAGTGTACACAATGCATCATCTCAGAAATATAGACAGATACTGAAGGGCCGGAATGTTGTAATCAATATGGCAACAAAGATGTGGACAATAGTCCTAATAATGTAAATAGTGTACATAATACCTCATCTCAGAAATATAAGCAGATACAAAAGAGACATTTTTAAATAACAACATACAAAATGCGTTGCTGTTTAACGTAAAGAAACTGACCACAATTCTGACATAATGTGGTTGAGTGATTTCGCAGTGGAGGCTTGTATTTGTACTAAATCGGGTCTAAAATAGGTTCGACGTACAAAACGTTAGTGACTTGATACGCAAAGTAATCTTGTGGTGGTCGCTGATACTTTCGTATTCGACTAACTGTCGTCTGACATCTACTGACTAACTGACTGCCTGATTCCCGTTTCTATTACTACTCCTACTTATATTAGATGGTAGAGTCTATTAACTATAATAATAGGTGTGTTTCACCATAACACCTAAATAAATTCTACTTCCAATTCAAAGAGAAAACAGTTCACTCGGACGATACTGTCTAGTAAATATTTAATCGCTAGTTCATCCAGAGTAATTTTATATGCAGGTTTTTTCACCATTGTTGTCAGATTTTCTGGTGGGATATTTAATAACCAAGATGATGAAAAAAAATAAAGTTAAAAAGGTCTAGATCAATATGTCTAGTACCAAAAAAAAAATCTTTCTAAAAAATGTTGAAACTCCCAGCGTCTATCGCTCATGCACATGTGTATTGGCAACAACGTAGAGAAATTCTTTTCCGTGTTTTTTATATATATATATATATATATATATATATATATATGATAATATTA